TTGGTGGCGCTCTCCCCCCCCCCCCCCGATTTAAATGGAGAAATCCTTGTGGCAGTCAATACAGGATTTCAGGGACTGGAGGGATGTCCGGATGAGAAAGGGCAGAGCTGCTTCTGCGCGTGGGCCCTGATCCTGGCTGAACGATTCAGAGGAATCCCAAAGGGAGGACGGTTCTCCATCACGCTTCTCTTCGGGAGTCAATCCCGTTCCCTTCGGTCCAGGGGGGGGGTTTCCTTCCGGGGAAGTGTGGAAGCCAACCTTCCTCTCTTCGATGGGAGCTGCCGAGGGGGGGGCTTTGCTCTCAGAGCTGCTTCTGCGCGTGGGCCCTGATCCTGGCTGAACGATTCAGAGGAATCCCAAAGGGAGGACGGTTCTCCATCACGCTTCTCTTCGGGAGTCAATCCCGTTCCCTTCGGTCCAGGGGGGGGGTTTCCTTCCGGGGAAGTGTGGAAGCCAACCTTCCTCTCTTCGATGGGAGCTGCCGAGGGGGGGGCTTTGCTCTCCCTCCACCTCACCCGCCCCGTCGAGGCTGGAGGCTTTTCCGGGGCCAGGAAGGCTCAACCTGCTCTCCTTCCTTAGATACAACGACCTCCACACCTTTGAGCTTCAGGATCCCACCCGAGTCATCGAGTGGATCGGAGAGAAAAGTGAGTGGGGGCGCTTCTCCCCTGGGTTTGGGCCCGGCGGATTCAAGCCTGGTGCGGCAGATGGGAAACCTCTCGAGGAGGACGCTGCACCGCCCTGCTGTGTTCTTGTGGGGTGGGGGTGGGGGATTGTGTGTACGTGGCGGTTTTAAGAACCGCCGCAGGTGCTGATGCGAGATCCCCCCACCAAGGCCGGGATGGCTGATGCCTGCCACGGGACGCTGCCTGTGCCCAAGGCTTGAAAGACGGGGACCATTGTTATTGTTGGCCTCCAGAGCGCCCTTCTCTAGGGCATGGTCGGCCCTCGAAAAGGGGGCACTCGGGGGGTCAGACTAGAAGGACGGTCCGTGTCTCTCCTTATGGGGCAGGAGAGACGCCTCCAGATTCAGGATCTCACATAAGGGAAAGTGGCTGGGGAAGAAACCTACAGTGTAAAATCCTTGAAAGGCAGTCACACGAAGGAGGGGCAGGATCTATCCCAGTGGGACACGCAACCCATGGGCTCAAGCGACAGGAAGCTGGATTTCGCCTGAATATCAGGAAAACCTTCCTCCCTGTTAGAGCAGTGCGACAATGGGACCCGTCGTGACCTCTGGAGGTGGTGAGCGCTCCCACGCTGGAGGCCTTCAAGGGAAATTTTATACAACCTTCTGCCTGATCCACTTTGATTGGGATCCCTGCCTTCAGCGGGG